GTACGAGGCCTGCTGTAAAAAGGGTTAAGGGTTTAGGGTTATGGGTGAGGGGTGCAAAGATGAGTTCTTTCATTCCCAGACGCCTTTGATGCCGTAGTTTTCATGTCCTCTCCCATGCCTCAGATATCACTTCGTGACGGTTTCGGAAGCACCGAACGACAGGCGAGACCGAGCGCCAGAGCTCGAAGCAGGGAGTTCTCACGATGGCAAACCCCTTCGAACGCCTTTTGGCTCGACTGTGGCGAGTTCGCTTAGAGAAGCTTGGGTTTCAGTGGGTTTTGGCTTTCGGGTTTCTGGTTACACTTTCTGTAGACAGGAGAAATGCAGCCAGCCATTTTGCAGGTCTTCACGCACGGTACATTGATCATGTAGATTTGTCTTTGGAGGTATGTTATATGAAACCGTGTCCTGTTGCCTGGTCACAGGGTGTATGTAATAATCATTTATATAATTATATATATACACACATACACAGACGTCTTGTATGTGTATATATATATAGACACATCTGCAAACTTACATGTGTATATATATATAGAGGTACAGTATGTACTGTATTCACAATATATACATATATATATACATGCTACCCCCCTCAAAGATATTTGTTTAACTCGTTGCTGTGCTTTTGCTGCTTATGGACATTCTACCAACGATAACCCGAAACACTGTCCCCAGTTGAATCTTAGCTTATTGGGTAAGGGCTTCCTATGAAGGAAATCAGGAACCAAGACAACAGCCTTACAACTACCCTATTGAATTTCCCTCTATAGAGTACGCCCTGTATATGATACCCCATGTACAGGTTATATATACCCTACATGATTTTGGGTGCTATCGAACCGCCTTTCGCTGTCCAGAATTTCGGAAATCGCTGTGCAATCGAACCACCGTCTCAACATCTTGAAGGCGAAGCGGTTCCGACACAAGCACATTTTCTCAAGCAACGCCCTTCAGAAAATCTGGTGCTACCGAGCCGCCGTCCGCTGCCCTCATGTTCGGAAAACGCATTGATTCGACAGCAATAAATTTTCAGAAACGACACTTCGTACAACTTGTGCTATCGAACCGCCCCTGTTTGTTGTCCGAATTTGCCACGGATAACACAGCGGTTCGAAAGCATCAGTTTTCTGAAGGAAACCCTGCGCAGCAGGTAGATGGCACCAAATTTTCTGAAAGGAAGCCCTTCGGAAAGTTTGGTGCTGTTGAGCCGCCCTTCGCTGTCTTCATTGTAGCATATTGAACAAGGGATTTCCTATGAAAGAAATCAGGAATCTAGGCGAGTTGCTTTTAGAATACCTTGCAGAACACCTCCTCTGCAAGCCTCAACGAATTTCCTACAGAACACCCTAGGTAAACCCTTGCAGAATGCTCCCTTGACTGTTGATACTCTAGATTCTACGTAGATGTTAACGACCCTGTAAGGAGACCTTGTCGAATACCTTCCTGTATATACACCCTACAGCAGACCTTGCACGATACATGATGCAATTCCCTATAGAATTCCCAATGGAATGCGCTATAGCATACTTTATATAATGTCCCCTGTAAATATGCTATATAGAATACCATCTGGAATACTCTATAGCATACCTGGTAGAATACCCCTTATATATGATACCCCCTGCATACCTTACATAAGAAAGTTGGTACTATCGAACCGCCTCTCACTGTCCGCATTCTCGGAAAATGCAGCCGTTCGATAGCAACGAAATAGCAAAACTATCCGAGTTATTAAGTTATTAGAAATAGCTCATTTCGGATAACTCGGAAAGTTTCCAAAACAGCCAAATTATCCAAATTTATCCAAATTATGTGAAATAGCTCATTTCGGATAATTCAGATAAATCGTAAAGTTTCCGAAGCATCCGAATTATCCGAACTATGTGAAATAGCGAACCAAGCGGAGTAGCGGCTTTGCGACACGAAGGGCTGCAACGTGAATGACGCAGTTGCTTCAAGCTGCTTTGCTATGCACATGTACAGTAGCAGATATGCACATGCAGACTGTCACAAGAGCCGTGGGGATGATGACAAAACCAAGAAGGGCAGAGGACCACATTGAAATCTTGAAACACATTGATTGAGTGTAAATTGCAAGGGGCTCCTGGGAGGGATCTTGGATTGAGGGAGGGCCATATTGACATATCGAGGCCATACTGAATTTCATCATGGCGGATCCAAGATCCGTGATCCAAGATTCCTCCCCCAGTGTCCTGAGAAATCTTGGATCTTGGAGCCGTCGCGTGTGCATGGTTGCGAATATACATATACGCATATGCATACATGCACGTGGAGTTTCGGACCTTGCCCATGTCTTAGGTTCAATCAGCTCGGACAGACCCACTTCTCGCCGATTACGTTCACGAGAAGGAGGACCTGAGACGGTCACGCCCCCATTGAATTCAGCAATCGTCGTTGTCGTGGACACCGCAGTAGTAGAAGCGGCGACAGCACATATTGTGCGGCCGCTAGCACTCGGGCTTTGGGGGCGAAAGTAACTTCCAGTGCTTCCTTGTTCCCGCTATCATCAGATCAAGAAGCCTGGGTAACGTGCCTGCTGCTGCTTCCGCTGCTACTAGTAATACAGGTAATCAGGTAGTACTAGTACTGGTACTAGCACCACTTCACTTGTTACTAGTTACTACTGGTACTACTATTTGCACTAGCGGTAGTAATTCGTCCACGTCGTCGTAGTGGTGCCACCACTACTATTACGACCATTACCACCGCCGCAGCCACGACGACGGCTCCTGCCAGTACTACTGCCAAGACCATAGCATATACAGCACTCGGCAGAGCCGCAGTACAGCAGCACTGCGATGCCCGGAACTCCCTTGAAGTGCCCTGCGCTCCGTGCCTGAGACTACAACTCGCTCCATGCCTTTGGGGCGCTTGGCAGCGGCAAGCTCAGATGATTGCCGTTGTTACTTTTTGCTGTGTTTATATGTGTTCATATATAGAGAGAGATCGATAGATAATGTTTGGCCTTATGCTGGTTGTGCTGGTGCTTGTGGTTGTGGTGGTGGTGGTGGTGGTGGTGGTGGTGATGGTGGTGGTGGGGGTGGTGGTGGCAGTGCTGGTGCAGTTGCAGTTGCAGTCGCGTTGCTGTTGCTGCTGTTGCTGCTGTTGCTGCTGTTGCTGCTGTTGCTGGTGTTGTTGGTGTTGTTGGTGTTGGTGTTGTTGTTGTTGTTGTTGCTGTTGTTGCTGTTGTTGTTGTCTTGTTGTTGTTGTTGCTGTTGCTGTTGCTGTTGCTGTTGCTGTTGTTGTTGTTGTTGTTGGTTGTTTTGTGGTTGTTGTTGGTTGTTCTTGGTTGTGGTTGTTGTTGTTGTCGTTGTTCGTTGTTATCGTTGTTATCGTTGGTATCGTTGTTATCGTTGTTGTTGTTGTTGTTGTTGCTGAAGTTGTTGTTGTTGTTGCTGCTGCTGCTGCGTTGTTATCGTTGTTATCGTTGTTGTTGCTGCTGTTGTTGTTGCTGTTGTTGATGTTGATGTTGGTGTTGGTGTTGGTGTTGTTGGTGTTGGTGTTGTTGGTGTTGGTGTTGTTGGTATTGGTGTTGGTGTTTTTGTTTCTGTTGTTGTTGGTGTTGTTGTTGGTGGTGGTGTTGTTGTTGTTGGTGGTGGTGGTGTTGGTGTTGTTGGTGTTGTTGGTGTTGTTGGTATTGTTGGTGTTGTTGTTGTTGTTGCTGCTGTTGCTGTTGCTGTTGTTGCTGTTGTTGCTGTTGTCGTCGTTGTTGTTGCTGGTGCTGGTGTGTTGGTTTGTTGCTTTGTTGCTCTGTTGCTTTGTTGCTTTGTTTGTTTGTTTGTTTGCTTGTTGTCTTGTGTGTTTGTCTGTCTGTCTGTCTGTCTGTTTGTTCCTTTGTTTGTTTGTTTGTTGGTTGGTTGTTGTTGTAGTAGTCGTTGGTTGCCGCGGTTGTTGATATTAGGGCCACTCATATTATTACAATTGTTGCTATCTGCTTCGTGTTGTTTAACCTCATTTTTTGCAGTTAAGCAGTATTGACTATGTTGGTTTTCAAGCCAGGATTCCTGTTACCATTGTAGCCTGCGTTGGTGACGATGGTGATGACTATTATGACATGTCTTGACGATTGCTATTATACCTTGCGAGTAGCAGTTCGAAAAATGCTTATGCGTGAATGTCGGTAAAGCTTCAAGCTGTTACTCATCCAGCTCGCAGCGTGTCTTGCAACCTACCTGAGGCCATACGAGCGCGTAACTCCGCAAAACTCAAAGGCATCTTGCCAGGATTGCCTGAGCCTTACAGGTTGCATCCAGTCTTGTTTTCCAACGCCGAACTGTGGACGAAAGATCAGGTCCAGCGCACGGTCCGGAGCATCCGGAACGACCTGAGGCATCCTCGGTTGGCAGTTGCTGACTTTCCCGCAATGCCCCACTATGTGGATCCCGACCTCTGTTCTCTTGCTGGAGGCAGCAGATACTTCCGGTGCAGTTTCCCGGCGCCAGTGCTGCGCCCGATATTCTTCGCTCTGCTTTGCTTTACCTAGAATTCGCACGAGATTTTCCGGAGGAAGATCCGTCAGCTGTCCAGCTCTTCTAAACGAGTTTGTCGAGAGGCAGCTTGCACGTTGAATTGCAGACCATTTAAAGCATCCCAGCACTCAAGTGGCCTGACGATGTACATAGTCCGTTCTAATTTGAATAGGAGGTACGAGGCATCCTAAGCCGACTTGGAGTGCTGGGTTTTGGGAACATCGCGCACGCTATGTGCTCTCCACATTGGAGAACGCAGAAGCTTAAATATCTGGCCATAAAGGAGGGGCCGATTCGTCGTAATGCAGGTGCCTGAGGGTGTCTCGAAACACGGTCTTAGTCGAGCTACAGGCATAGCCTACAGGCATTCCCCGTGCAGTTTGAAAGGAATGACGGCGAGAATTGCCCTCCATAGGCCTTTACTGTTTTGTTAGGGTTTATGTTATAATGTCCAAGCCACACGCCATGTTCTGATCTCCTGATGGAGCTTCCAGAACTGGTCAGGTTGAAGCCACTTGTATAGCAGGCCTCGTTCAGCACAAACCGGGATCCCACGCCCCAAAGATTCAGCTGTGCAGCTCCAGTCATAGGAAAGTGGCAAGAACCACACAATCCGTGGCTTGGTCAATGTTCCGTTGGCTTGCGGAGTAGGCTCGTGCCTCGACGGACTCGTTTCAAGGTCGAGGGCTGGTGCACTGCAGAGCAGCGCAGCTGAGTCTGTCGGCCTGAGCGACATAATAAGGATGAACGAGAGTTGAACGAAGGATATTTGATGCCCTCTCATTGTCTTGCCAGCTGGCCCACAGGGAGCCAGTTTTCCTGGACCATGAAGAGAACAGGCGGGATGAAGAACTGTCGCGAGCAGCTGGACCTTTGGCGGGGGACACATGGAGAGCAAGCATTTATCTGGAACTGAGGCTAGTCCGCATCTGGCTGAAGTCCCGGCAGTGCGCCTTAGCTGCACTTCTCGAGCTGCTGTCCAGCGAGAGTGCCCGTTAGCCTTCTGATGCCAAGGTCTCTGTGTCTGGCATCTCTCTTCCGAGCAGGTGCCAAAGGCCATCCCAGTATAAGTCCTCCGATAAAACTCCCAAGCAATCCGAGACGTAAGGCGGCATGGGCGGTGCTCCCCCTGGCTTTGTTCACCTGAAGGGCGGCTTCCGTCTGCCTGGCACTTTCTCGCAGATCGGAGTGAGGACTGCTTGTGCCATCCCTCCAACCTGCCAGGACAAGACTGGCTGTTGGACACATGTGCGGCTGAAGATGCTTTTTCTTAGTGCAAAAAGGGCCACAGCATGCGGTGCACATGCGTCAGAAGCCGTACGGATCACGACCTTGCTTCCGCCTTTTCAAGGCCTGGCCTTGAGAGACAGAAGAAGCCGTCATGTCGCATGACAATGCATCCAACTTGATACCCGTCGTCGCTAGCCATCCTGTCACGTTTGCCACGTGGGAGGCATGGACGAAAAAAACGAAGCCGAAGATAATCTCGATCGAGGTGGATCTAGAAATCGGGATCAGGCCATGGATACGAAGGACACCGTAGGCACGGCGGCCGGGGCCTAAGACTTGTTTCTGCAGAGCTTGAAATCCGATTCCGTGACTGGGTGGTCGGCGTTCCGGCTCTGTACGAAGCTGTCCGATCAGGCGAAGCTCTTGAACTGTAAGTGCTATCTATCTATCTATCTATCTATCTATATGATCATGGCACAAACTACCCCAAACCAGATTCTAATTCGGCTCGCATGCTGTAGGCAAGCCTGGCGGTCAACCTCTTCCAGCCCCCAAAAGCACCGAGAACTTAACCCCCTTACCCGCAACACCTTTCTTTCTTCCAGAAAGCCTCATAGCCCTTTTGTCGGCAAGGGCGCCTGATCGAATCCACCAAGAATGGCTCAGCTGCAGGCCTGACCTGCTGACCTTTGAGGAGATCAGCTAGCTTTGCACAGTTGGGGTCACTAAAAGGTAGCTTATCAGAATCGATCGATCCTGAGAATGTGGGATCCTTGTCATTCGCATGGCCCTTGGTTGCTCATGTGGCATAGGCGCCAAATCATACCTTGTGCAAGGTCTCAAGAATTCTGATGAAGGATTGTTCCCTCAGATCCTTTCGAAACCCCCAAAGCCAGTAAAGCCGCGTTTCGTTTCGGTTCGTTTCGGTTTCTCGGATGGGTTTTGACTCGGTTTCGGTTCGCGCGGTTCAGGGCGGTTCTTCTTGCGGTTCGGTTCGGTTCGGTTCAGAAAACCCATCCCTCCATCCATTCCAGACCCCCCCTCCATCCAACCCTCCATCCACCAGCCCTCCTCAACCCTCCATCCAGCCCTCCAGCCACAGCCACCCCCTCCATCCAACCCTCCACCAACCAACAGCCTCTCCAGCCAGCCCCCTTCCCCCACCACTCCATCCACACCAGCCCCTCCATCCAGCCCTCCATCCAGCCTCCATCCAGCCAGCCCCTCCATCCAGCCTCCATCCACCAGCCCAACCAACCCTCCATCCACACCCCAGCGCCCCTCCATCCACCCTCCATCCAGCCATCCAGCCACACCCCTCCATCCACGCCCTCCGCCACCACCCTCCATCCACCCCTCCATCCAGCCTCCATCCACCAGCCCACCTCCATCCACCAACCTGCCTCCATCCACGCCCTGCCTGCACCCTCCATCCACCCCTCCATCCAGCCTCCATCCA